TTTAGCATTGTTGTATTTGGTTACTAATATTTTAGTACTTTTTCAGCAGATTTTGCTGCACTTCCTCAAACTAGACTAATGCTAAAAGAAGTTTTTGAGGTTCTTATATGGGTATAGCTAAAAGAATTGTCTAAATGACTAAAACGAATATTTAACAGCCAAAAGTTAATCTAAAAATGACATACAAAAATTATTTTAAAATGAATAATGCTCGTGTGATTGAATTAGGTTATGCTTAAGTTAATTGAATTACTTTTTGATGATACTTAAAATAGTCTAAAAACATAACACTTGATCCTAACTAAATTATGAGTTAGTTTGTCCAGACCATATCGATTATTGAAAGTAAATATAAATTTTAAGATTGTAAATACTTTATTACGATCGTGCAATTTAATCAAAACTCCAAATAATTCGTATTAATAATGTTTTTATTCCAACATGTTCAATGATTATGAATAATTCGTATTAATAATGATTTTATTCCAGCATGTTCAATGATTATGAATATTTATGTATCATTTTATTCATATTTATGTCAACAAAACGATGTTGTATTACAACTTTTATTACTGTACGGTAAATTCAAGGTTCTCAATACCGGACCGTCATTGAGCCGATCAACTTATTTACTCAGTGATTTATTGGTTGGGCTATAATTCAATTTATTAATATGTTAATATATATATATAGTGATTTTTGTAATAAATTCAAATAAAAAATATTCATTAGATATCTTATCAATTAAAAATTTTCAAATGTTTAACTAACTGATAAATAATTCATAAATCTCCATTCTATTTAATATGTTGTTATTTATATAAAAAAAAATAATTCTAAATACAATAAAAATTATTTAGAAAACCATATCGATCTTACCAGTCCGACTAGCCTGTGTTGACGGGCTTGATAGAAAATGTTTTATTCAAGCGAACTGAACCGGTCGTTAAACTAGTTTTAGGTCCATTTGGTCGAACTGTTTAGTTCAATCTTATTTTGAAAACAATTGATAAATCATAATTAATGTTATTTATATATTTAATTTATTATATACTTTTAATATTATTTTCTCGTGCGATCACCAATAAAATTTAACAATAAAAAGTTAATCTGCAATGACATTTATGAACTTCGGAATTGCTCACCTACTCAGCTGCAGAAGATATGTTAATATTATGACACTTTTTAACTCAATGCCCATTTTTCCGAAAAGAGGCTCTTGTTAATACTACATGGAATCAGTAATTAATACTTTTTCCCTTCTACATTAATAGAAGAGCACAATAATGAAGAGTGAATTTTGTTTTCTTTCATAGAAAAGCTTATTTATTCCTTTCTACATTTATAGAAAAAGTTCAATAATGAAGTGAATTTCATTGAAATAAATATATAAATAAAAGTGGAAAAACACCTTTCACACGAATAAATGCGTATCTAATCCAAACAACTTAAATTAGACAAACAAAATAAATTGCTCAGAAGAAGCAAATTTAGAAAACCCCAACTGTCAAATAACAAACCAATATACATTGCGAATTTGTAACGCAGTTAAGCAAAAGGATCGTTTTCTGTCGAGATTCAGCCTTCCGACACCGCAACCTCAACAATTGCAGCAATTTTTCAATTGTTTGAGGTTTGTCTGCAGATCCCTTTGTTCCTCGTTTTCGTCCCAATCTTCTGTTTTCTTGAATCAATTGTTCGGTTGGGGTTTTTTTTTTGTGGTTTCTTGTTTTCTGAATTGGACTTGTGAATTGGCTTGGGCTATTTCTTGATTTATTGTGGATATGTTTGTTGATAGATTTTTTTATGTAGTTTTCTTTCTTGTTTGTCTATTACCCCATCTTGGTGGAAAGTTAAAAATTTCATTATTGTTATTACTAATTTCGCTCTGTATGTATGTGGCATTTTCTGCAAGAAATGATTAATTATGTTAATTTTTTGGATGGGTTTTTGCAAAGTTTGGACCTTTGCAGAGTTACACTGTTTTAAATTCTTTATACAAAATTATTCTTCAAGATTGTTATTAAAATGAAAAGAGTGACAGTATTATTGCAGCAATTTCGATTGTTTGACTTTCGTCCACAGATTCTTTGTTTCTCGTTATCGTCCCAATCTGTCTGTTTTGTAGAATTGATTGCAGGGGTTTTGTGTGTGTGTGTGTGTGTGTGTGTTTTGTTCTGAGTTGAACTTGTGATTTGGCTTTGGCAGTTTTCTTGTTTTGTGGTGGATTTTGTTTGTTGATTAGCTTTTTGTGTGTAGTTTTCTTTCTTGTTTGTCTACTGCCCATATTGTGGAAAGTTGAAGTTCTCGTTACAATTATCATCAATTTCCTTCTGATAAAGCCTCTGCAAGAAATGATGAACAGCGTTATTTTTCAGATGGGTTTTGCAAAGTTTGGACCTTGTACTGTTATAAATTCTGGGCACAAGATTATTCTTCAAGAGAGTTGATATTTTTGTGATTTGAATATAGTATGGATGATATTTTACTTGTAATTCAAAAGGTGTTTGGTGTGTTTGTTGTGGCAAATTGGTTTAAAATGCTGCATCTTTTGCTTCAGAGCCCAAACCAATTACAAAAAAAAAAGGTAAAAATTGTGTTTTTGGCATATCAAGAGCATATGCATTTCCCTTTTGGATCATCCAGAAATAAAAAAGGCATAGATTGCAGATGCTTTTGTGCATTGTTCTTCATGATTATTACACAACAAGAAAAAGTACTATTGAACATTCTCAAATTACAACACATTCCCTTAATCCTTAAGAAAATTACATAATCGACAGCGCAAGACTTCCACTCTTAACTCTTTAGGAGAACATTATATATTTTTGTAAATCAACCTTTTTTTTTCTTCTTTTTTTTTTTTCCCTGTGGCATAAAACTGGGATTTTTGCAGGGAAAACAACATGAGTCTGGCATGTCTTGTTTGCCACAGCATAGAAAGCCCGTCACATTCGTTCAGAAGCTACTCTGTATCGAGTTCAGACAATGAAGGAAGATGCTTTGTGGTTGCCAGTTGCTTGACAAGAAAATTCTCTCTTCCGAATCCTACTATCACTTCGTCTAAAGTCATGCCTCAGCCGATTATTTCAAGTGGAGGGGTCACGGGGGCCCCACGCCTCGTTCGAAGCCGAGCTGTAAGAAGGGACCTCGTTCGAGACTGGAATTTTGATGGAGAAATGGAGGACTAGTCGCAAAAGGAAGATGGATTATTGTTTTACTTCTAACGCGTTGTTTAGATTTTTGTGTTTTTAATTCTTCTTTTATTTTCANATGGAGAATGTATTAATATGTTCTCACCTACATTTGTATATGCCATTTTATGTTTCTTGAAAAAAGTACCCTTTATGTTTGTTTGGTTATTCAGAGAACAGATAAAACCCAGAAAAAGGCACAAGGTTTTGATTCATGTTAAAGGAATCAATCTGAATTTCTTTAACAGGAAAATCATTAGCTTCAAGAGATGCAGCAGCAAGCTTAATTTCATCCTTAACGGCATTTGCATATTGATGTAGAACAGTGTTTAATATTATTATTATTAGCATTTCATATTTATTATTATTATTATTATTATTTAATATTTATTAGTTGTGGCTTGGTGGATGATAGTCTTAAGATTTTGAGAGCCTTATTTAAAGGACTTATCTTCGAATAATCATATATTTCTATAATCAACCGTTACCAACTAATCTTTTTATTCTTTACAGTAAATCATTTTTTTATATATTTATTTTCTTTCTTTGTTTTTAATTTTTATTCTTCTCTATTATTATTATGTTTCCAATTTCACTTTATTTTGGGGGTTAGGTGAGAAATTGAAATCTTTACTTGACTTGAAGTAAAACGTGTTCAATGATGCGCAACATTGAGGCCCAATATGTTGCCCATCCTTAGGCCCACTTTAATAGGGCAAGTACTTCTCTTACCTCTTCTAGTACCCAGCAAAAATGACTGGGCTTGTTGAAAAGAAATTGAGAAAATTACATAATTCAGTGATTGCCTATAAATTTTATTTTACTTTTGTATTCGTGAAGTTTATTGAGAAATTTGCACAGTTTACGTTATATATAATTTTTTATTACATATATGAAACCAAATCATAAATAATAGCAATTCAACTAGTTGAGCCCTTTTTATTTGCAAAACTACCAATATCAATAAAATCATTAAGTTACATTTGTAATCAATTTTTAGGGTAATTAATGGAAGACTTTTTAACTTCCCAAAATTTTATCACCACACTTTCTTTCTTTCTCTCTCTCTCTCTCTCTCTCTCTCTTCTTCTTCTTATTCTTCTTCTTGTTCTCTCCCTCTGTCTTCTTCTTCTTCTACAACATTACATTTAAATTTTTATCTGTTTTTTATATCGATCGATTACGAGAGAGAGAGAGAAATTCTTCACGGAACAAAGTGAATGAAGGGAGGAGAGAAATCTCGTTGGGCCATATGATAAGTAGCGAACGAAGCGATTCTGAAGGTTGACGGTGGAGATGGAGGACTCACGAGAAGGGGACGGAGACAGCGGGCTCGTGGATTGGGAGTTTCTGGAGCTTTTTAATGGCGTTATTGATGGGAAGGATCTGCCGATTAGAGTGGAGAAGACGGTACTTGAGTTGGATCCGTGCTCTATCATTTATCGTCCGCCGTCGAGGTGAGAAATCGGGAGTCGTCGGTGACTTCAGGCGGCTTGTGGTGGACATCAACGACTTCAGACGGCGTGCACCGAAGATGATGCGCCCATTTTTAAACCTGTTTACCTTTTCTTTGTTTTATTTTTTTTTTGTTTTTTTTCTTTAACTCGCGGCACGAGGCAATCGGCAATATATGTTGCTTGTATGTAGTATATGTTCAGTTCATTTGCAATATATGTTCAGTATATTGTATACTATGTACTTTTTTTCTATCTGTTCTAACAAAAAACTTCTTAGAGGATAATTGTCGAACACTTGCTGTGCTTGATTTGTTGATAGATAGTTATATTATGTACTTGTTGCGGGTATATGTTGTGGTTATATATAGTATATTTTCGGTATATGTATCGATATGAAAATTTGTATATTTCGGGTATGAAAAATTTACACGTTGCGGGTATATGTTGCGGGTATATACCAAAGTTGCACAACACACATATACATAAATATACGTACAATATGCATAAAATACACAATCGAGATTCACGTAATTCAAGTTCACGATACCACATATACATAAAATATACTTTATATATACAATCGAGTTTCAATCGTTTCTCGAAATCGATTTCAAAACCCACATATACATAAAATATACCTAAGATCTACACTCGAGATATTTTCACGAGCAGATCGTTTCTCACGGGCAAAACCCACATATACATAAATGTACCTAAGATATACCTAAAATATACCTCAAATATACCTAAGTTATACAGTCGTTTTTCACGAGCAGACAAGAAGGTCTCAGGCTTCGCTTGACTTCCGAGGGCTTGTGGTCGGAAAAACCGTGTCTTGGAACATGGCCACTATAGCACACGAAGCAAGCGCGCCTATCTTGGCTGAGGGCTGCAGCCAGAGTGTGCCTGCCTCGTCGTGAATGGCCTGGTGCTCTTGGTACTCACCGGAATTTGGTGCATCTCGGGTGTCCTCGAATCTCCTCGCCTGAAATTGGGTTTTTTGGTGCTCGTGGATCGTCGGCTCGCACGACTTGCTCGTTGCCGAAAAATTGGTGGCCTCCTTCTTATCGAGGAAGATGAAAAATTTTTGGGAACTTTCTGAAGGATTTTTTTTCGAGAGGGACGGGGATCTGTAACTTGTCGAGGAAGATGACAATTTTTTTTTTTTTTTTTCTGGTAGTTCATGGCGGAAATCACGCCACAATCTGTTGGAGAGAGGACGTTACAAAGGTAACAGATATTAAGGCAATCTCATAAATAAATTACCTTCATAAGGTATATCTCCTATTATATGTTCAATGAAGGTAAACATGAAAATATTTTCATATCGTGTAGTAGGTGTAAAATTTTCCCAAGTTTATTTTTAATTACAAATCTAATTTTCAATATTTTAGCACCCAGTAAAAATGACTGGTCTTGTTGAAAGAAATTGAGAAAATTACTAAATTTAGTAATTAGCTAGCCTAAACTCATAAATATAAAAGTAATATAAATTTACCTTCGAAATCAATAAGAAAATTAATAATAATATCTTAACTCTAGCTGAGGTTTATAGATCTAATTTTAATGTTTATAAATGGTTGGTTTGTAGTGTATGTTTGTCATTAGTTTGCACTATTTATTCGTTTATTTTGATTTGCTTATGTATGGTTTATCTATTGTTTTATTTTGAATTAAAAAATTTTTGTAAAAAAAAATCAGAAAATGTAGTAGACATGTAAAAGAGCCAAATAAATTTGATTATTGTATGTTGCAATAGTTTCCACTTTCCAGCCATTATTTGTATTCAATATTGATTGAAATGTACATTTGACTTTCTACATAACTCACAATTGATTCAAAACCTCAACACACACACACACACAAAATACAATTTTATTTATTTTTTTGTTATATTAATACATTAACTTTTATTCTTTGGAAAGTCGATTAGGAGACTTCTTGAGGATAAATGGATAATCATGAAATGTAAGAAAAAAAAAATCATTTTTGTTTCCTTTAATTTTTTATTAGCATACAATATTAGAAAATCAATTTGTCAATAAGCAGATAATTATTTAAATATCAATGCAGGCTTTTGGACTTTATCAATTGAAAAAATCACGTTTTGCAGCTTTTATTTTCAGGCTGACTCAGCCGTAAAAGAGATTTACTGTAATAAATGAAAATCGTGAGTGGTCATCAAATAATTTTCTAAAATAAACTAATAAATAAATATAGGTCCATATTTTACTAAATGAATATTGAATAATTATATTATTTTTATAATACAAAAATATTTTTGGATCAGAGAGTTGATCATGGCCTAAGAAAATATCTTATGGGAAAATTATAAATCTTTTTGAACCCTCAACTATTTTTTTTTCCTAATGAAAATATCTTATGGAAAATTATAAATGTTTTTCATAAGGAAACTTTTTCATGAAAAATTATAATTGTATGTCTAGCGGGACTTGGATTGGACATGTGACATTGAACAAAGAAATATAATTGAGATTGGCAATAAAGTTTTACCCAATAAAGTTCAGCAAATAGTAGCTGCTAAAATTGATGGGGGTCCATATTCCAAAATCCACAGTGGGTTATTATTATTATTATTATTATTATTATTTTAACCTTTCAAATTATATTCGTTTTTAAACTTTGCTTTAAAACTTTTTTTTCTTGATAAATTACCTTCTAAAATATACAAACTGATAATTTGCCTAATGTATCAAAATCCTAACCTGACACAATTTTTTTAAATTCAATTAACGATAAACTTTGAATCAATATTTAAAATTATTTTAGAGTTTGACGAGAAGAAACAAAATGAGGTATGGTTTATTTATTTCTGAAACTTGATATATCAGTAATCGACCAACGAAAAAGGTAGGTCTATGTATGTATAGGAGAAACTTCGGTTTAACTTTTTGATAATCAAGATTTTCGATTTTCAATATAAAGGTGTCATTTGAAAACTTATGGGATGAGTTTTCTAATGATGTAAATCTTATGAAAAACCAACAATGGAATTTTGGTTTAGTAGCCTAAAAAAGACTAGATATTATATTTATCAAATTTGGTTAGTAGCCTAAAAGAACTTCGGTTTTGTATCAATTTCTTGAGCCCAACTCGAGCTCAAGAAACTCGGTTTGATGAAGGCTCCAGTATAATCTCAAGTATCAAGAGTATGAGTTCCTCTCGGCTCATTTACAACTCTAAGCATTTCAAACAGTTTGAGGAAAAGAGACAAATACGTATCATTTAAAGGTTCTTGAAATTTAGTTTAAGTCCTTTTTAAAATATGAAAAAATATACTAATTAAAATTGATTTGATTAAAATGATAAAATAATAAGCTACCAATTTTATTTTTTTAAATTATATAATTCAAAACTATCAACATAATAGAATGCTAATATGGTGAGTATATTTACAAGATACCATTTTAACTTATTTTCTAAACTATAAGAATTAGTACAATTATATGCAATTTTGCCTAAAAATAATAAATTTATATTGCACTATGGTGGGAGTACATTAATGGGCCATCCATTAGTAGTGGGGAGGAATCTTGAAAGTGGACCTTCACCTAAGATCAAAAGGAACTACCCTAGCAAAACAAATCCTAAACCCTCTTCTAGCCCCAAAAGTGCACTAGTTTATAGCCCGAATTAATTAAGGTACACAAAAAGATTTTTTAAAATTTTAGGTGCCATTGGGTATATTTTTTTTTTTTCAGTCAATATTTATGTCGTTAAAATAAAATAAAATGATTTTAAGAAAATACTATTCATTTCGCACCATTTTTTCTCTCTGAACTCAATTAAATAACAAAAAAATAATTATTATTATATATTTTTTAATAAAGAAAGTTCATTTACTCGCTCATTTCAACTATTTTATATTATTTTTTTTTATCATATCAACTTTATTATAATATTTTCATCTTATACCTATTCAAATTTCACTTATATCTCGCTGCTTTTTTAAAAATCTTATTCCCAATCGAACTCTTAGTGATTTATTTTTATTTTTTTATGTTAACATGTATCATAATTGTAATTACTTTTATCATTATCTTTTTCCAAAACCCATTTTTTTGTTTTGTATGGCAATAATTTTTTTTTTATAATGTTGTTTGGTTGACCTCTCCCACCTCAATCCCCCTCCCTTTTTTAAATGATGCTTTTTACACATAATAATATATGCGTATAAATTTGCCAATATAAGTTGACTACCATCTATTTTTTCTTCGGGAAAATTTCATTAGAATGCTCAACTTTTTGATATTGTATCAATTTAAGGCTTGAATTTTATTCTTTTTCAATAGAAGACCTATATTTTAGGATATTCTCAATTTAAGGTTCACTTTTTAATTAACTTTCCATTGTAAGGCACAATTAACTTTATATTTTGATATAAATATGTGAATTGATTAACTTTATTTTATAATATAGTTATGTGAAAAAAAAATAATTTTTATATTTAGTTTATATTTTACATACTTATAATAAATATCTTTAGTAATATTTACTTAATAATATAGCGAAACTATATAAATTATATTTATGCAAAAGTTTAATCATGAATAATTTAAAAAAAATGATAAGTGAATTAAAAAAATATGTAATGGAAATATTATTTTTATTAATAATATAAATATGTAATAAAACTAAAAAATAATATATAAATGCAATCTACAAAAATATATCATTTTCAACAAGCAATGACATAGTATCAGCTTTTGCTTCCAAAAAGAAAAATTAAAATTAATCTTTATTAATATAATTTTACTAAAGATATTTGTTATTTTTTATTATAAGTATGCAAAATATAAATTACAAAATAACAATAATAATAATAATTTTATTCACATAATAGTTGTTTTACATATTTATAAGAAAAGGTAAAGTTAGTTGGGCCTTATAATGGAAAGCTAACTAAAATGTAAGCCTTAAAGTGAGAATAACCTAAAATATAAGCCTTCTATTAAAAAAGTACAAAATTCTGGCCTTAGATTAATACAATTACTAAAAGTTAGGCCTTCCACTAAAATTTCTCCTTTTTTCTTCATAGTTACTTCTCATTTTTATTTTATTGTACTCTCTAGCATGGGGAAAAAAAAATAAAAAAAAATGCCCCTGTGGATTCCAATGGCCCAATTTCAAAATCGAAACACTTTAAATTTTGAAAATTTTGTTATAAATTTGTAACAATTTTATTTTTCTAACTACTTTTAACCAAAACCCATGGGATTCCCTTCTAGGAGGGGGCTAGGCATCATTTATGTGGTGTGTTCTACTTTTATGCAAAAAGATTTTTTATTTGGTCATTTATATAATAATAATAAAAACAAGTATCATTCCTCATAATAATTGATTGCAGAGGAATAATATCAATTGTGTGCTACAAAAGGCTGAAAAAAGGGGCTATGCCAAAATACTGCAACACAATAATTGTTATTAATTACTTATAAGTTGTTAATTACTAAAAGTAGTAGTATTATTTTACTGAAATTTCATTATTTATTGTGAATAAATTTACACAAGTAAAAAAGAGCATGATTTAAGTGTTGGTCTTTGTTATAATTGCCTGCTCAAAATGAGACAGCTCCTAATTATGAAAAAGTTAATAGCTGTGAGAATCAACTGTCTTTGAAGTGACATTTGTCAGAAACACAAAGTACAAACTTGCATTGATTGTTAATCATGCCTATTTTTAACTTTCAGTACATTTTATTTTTAGCTACCCTTTTCTTCTGTTT